AGGGCCGTCCCTTGGTGTGGACCAATCAGTTTCTCATTTACAATGCATATATTATCATAGTATGTTTTTTTTGCATTTTGACAGCAGGTATTGTGGTTAATGCAGACATGAATCCTTGTTAAAAGGTTTCAGTTTTGTTGCCAGAAAAAAGGGGAAAAACCCTATTATTATATTTTGGTACTGGCAAAGGAGGTCTAATGATGAACTACAATATATTTACAAATCGAGTAAATTGTAAATGTTGTGGGTTTACTCTCCAACACACCGGTGTGCTGAACTCGTAACTAATCGGCATTTGTGTTTACGTGACAAACCTACTTGGTTGTATCGGGTGGTGGTGGATTTTACGACACATTTCTATTTATGTGATCTAACCCAAAACCCTCTATTGTGGATGCATTTTGTTATCTTACAAAAACTGAAATTGCGTACTTGGAAATTTAGATTGGAAATTCCATGCCCTCCCCCCTCTTCTGCTGCTGCCGTGCCCCTTGCTTTCTTTGGCCCCTCCCCCCACCTCTACTGCTTATTTGAAGCCTCTGTCTGTTCATCCCTCCGTCTCCTTTTTCTTGCTTCTCTGTCCGTCTTTCCTCTTCTTACCTCTTGTTGTCCCTGTCTATGTATTTCTGCTGCCTTGTACCTCGTATTTGTTCACTCTGTCTATGCTGGTATGTTCAACCCAGAGGATGAACACGAAATTTAGCACTCTTTCTGAAATTCGTGGTCTGCCAGGCAAGTGTCTAACTGTGTCGATGGCCGACTGGTTTTGCATCACGTAAGTTTTTCTTAGGTTTGTTGAATTCTCGTCTCTCATCTACTTGTTGTATTTACCTCCGTGCAGTTTAACGCTCTCTATGTGTTGCGTTGATGTCACCCTATGTGCTATTTGTTTTTTACACCTGATGAAGATCGCTTGTGTTGCGGTCGAAACGTCGTGATTGATTTATTTTAATATAATTTTATGGTATTTCTACATACGTGACTTTGCCGAAAAAAACAATGAGCAATTCCATGCCGTTGGTGGAAAATCTTCGTTCCCATTTGTGTGGGTCATGGAAATTGTCAGTGCGGGTTGATGAAGGTTGGGAGGTGAGACCTACTTCAGATGTTAACTCGCCATTGAAACATAATTTCCGGGTCGCTAGGCTCACTGCACGACCAATACCCCTTATTATTATTACTTCATGACCTTTGAGAGCAAATACAAAGTGTGTATCCTTGAGCATGATTTTAACTTTCCGTTTATGAGTCAAGAACTCTAGGATGGTGATTAAGTGAAGGATATGGCCAAAACCGTTACAAACATGAAACTTAGCACGAATATTTATATTCATATGCCTTAAACATTGTTTGATATGGAACCACCACCAACGCTCCTCCTAGTGGTCCAATTAGGAACCTGAATGTTTTGCAAAGCATTTCGCTGTAACACTCAGATGCATCAAAACTGTTTAATTGCTCATTAATTGTCGATAAGGTTACAATAACATGAACACATTTAGTGATTGTCTATTGCGGTATTCTATTAAATAAGCATAAACCAACTACATACTCCAAACTGGTTGACCAGGGTAATAAGCAACCCAAACACACGACAGTGTTTATTGCCACTGAATAGCCCTAACAGAACCAATTTTTTCACATCACTACCTCTTGTATAATCTAATGCAATATCAAATTATCAGTGATAGCGCTGACATTTCTCAGTGATATTTCACTGTTCATCGTGACGGGGTTTCCCATTTACTCAGAGACAGTGACGAGAGCGATAATTAATCTCCTTTACACAAGACCCCTGGACACTTCATACTTGTTCATATTTTGTGATTCGTTGTTGTTGCGTGTAGAGCATTGTTCTCTAACTCTCGGCTCTTTTGTGCTGCTTCTGGTCTATCAATCGCCCATTATCTAAGTGCTATTGGATTGTCTGTCCTTGCGAATACACCTCCTCGTTTCACTCGGGCGTTTGACTCGCTCATGTGCCCGATCCAACAGCCACAGCGAGAGAAATGTTTCTTTTGTGGCACAAATTGTCCAGAGCAGAGCTCGTGGTATAGAGCTGAGTGTATTTTCTAATAAAGAACACATAAAGGAAGTCTTCCTCGTGTGGGCTGACAGCCACCTTGCGTAGCTGATGTGATCAAAGGTAAACCAACCACAACATTATCTTGGCCAGTGATTCCACACACTCTGCAAAATGTGCTCCTCGAAGTGCTTTAGTATGCACAGCTCTCGTTCTAGTGCAAGCAACCAATGCTTAAACTGGGCTTGTTGAGCTGACATTTCCTTATAGCAAGCTGTGAACACCAAATGTATATTTTTTCTCCATTTGGCACAGTTTCTATGTAATTATCATATTCCCGATGCTGCAAGATGTAGATGGCAGCTGCTGTTATCTGGTGGACATGCCTTGTTACAGAGAGATGTCTTACAATATCAGTAGCACTCATGGCATTTGTACACCCACCGTCTGCAAGCCGGTCTTCTAAGATAGTGCTCCAATATATTTTCGGGTTGTACCGTGTGTTGTCCAGCATGATATCCTAAATGTCACTCCACGTGCTGGGAACCTCTTTGTGAACCGAAGATCCCAGCGTGTAGAGTGAAAAGTTGAACATTTTGCCGAACAATGTGGTACAATCTGAAAACACGTCGGAAAGTTTTACAACAAAACCACGAAAACCTACACAGGCATCTCTTCGGATCCTAAATGCTGCCATTTTAATATGCAGTCCATAAACTATTTTGAGGAACATGTCTTCTCCACGTGTGTCTGGAGAGTTTCACTGGCTTTTTTTTTAGCAACAGCAAAGAGTGGTTAATCCATTACAAGCACTAGAACCTGTTTGGATTCGGGTAATTAACAACAGCCTTGGGCCACATTCATGGAACGCAGTAACTGATTGCATTCTCTAGAAACAAAAATACGATAGCAGCGCGGCAACAGTTGCTCTGGAACCTGTGCACGGTGGGCCCAGTGAAGATATGCTGCCCACGATAAAATGTAATATTTGTCAAGTTATGGTTTTACAACTATCTGCCTCGGATGTTTGAGCAATTCATCTGCTTTGCCGAAAGCATTGGGCACCGGTGATCAAGGATATTAAGAAAATGGCAGCCAAATAATGGAATGCATGGAGATTAAAGTATTGGGCGCCAAGGAGATTAAATTAATTCTCGGTGGATTGCTACATTGCAGAATTGTGAGAGATGGTGGTGGTTTACGGAGGCCTTAATTTAGAAGAGGATTGACCATGGCTGATGATGATGATGCATGCGTTGGGTAGAATGGCCACTTCAGATGTGACCGGTTCAACTGCAGGTGGTGCAAACATATGCTTTTATCCTCAGAGATATAGGAGGCACATTAGTATTAGTTGCTGGAATAGGTGTTATTATATTCTTCACTTCTACACCTCCGTCTATCACTGGCATTTCCCAGGCTCTGACTTGAAAAACTACTTTTGAATGCTGCATCAAGGAAGTTCCTGCAGTCATGGGAATGAGTCTGTTACTGTTGTGGATTCATTTTATGGTTAACATTATCATCAACAGGCATTGGTAAAAGAAGACCTTCTTGGCAAGTTTTGAAGGGAAGACTGCACCGTAATCTTTGCACATGGCACACGCAATAATGTTGGCAATGTCTAAGCACACAATCGTAGGGGAAACAACTAAAACAGTCATGTTCTTGTTTCAACATGGGTCTGATGTGTCTCTAGCTCTGTTATTTTGCAGCTTGCCGTTTGTTCTATTTTGTCTACATTTTACAGTATTGCAAGCCAGAAGTTGCGAGATGGTCAGTGGAAGCAGGTGGGCATAGCTGCCCTTCAAGAGACTGTTCTTGGAGGCTTGAGCTATCTAGGTTTATACTGAAAAGTGCTATCACACAAGCTCAGGTTTGTTTCTGGCAGTCATCAGGACTCGTGTCGTTGATTGTTTAAGTTTGCAGACATCGCGATGGATAATTTTGGCTGCTCTTGGCAGGTAAAATACTTCGCAGTCAAAATTTTGCTCAGAGTAATTTCTTATTGTATCTCCAAAGTGATTGATTGAAAAAGGCAGCGATGTAAGACATCGCTGCCTTTTTTTGTCAGTTCTAAAAAAATGCATAAAATTTGGTTCGACATTTTTTTTGGCTTAATTCCAAATTTGAGAATAAAAACAAATATTGGTTTGACTATTACATGTCGGATATTAGTCTCAGTGTTAGGGTAAGTAGGAACTTGCTGCGTGACCAGAGGTCACTTTAAGTGTCAAATCTGGAGGATAACGTAGTCAAAATAGTAAAAATGCTGAGTACTGAATGTGCATATACTTGAAACATTTGACCGATCTATAAATATGATTTCAACCAACATGCATTTTGTTCTTATCATAAGGAAATATAAAGGTGGTAAAGGTGCTGAAATGAGATTGCTTGCTCACGTAACTGCTGGCGGAAGGGTATTTTTGCCTACTCTTCCACGCTGGTGAAAGAAGGCCTTCTTGGGTATCTTGGCTACATATTTTACAACAGGTGGAAGTACCCATATTTTACCCTGCCACCACATGGGCCCTGCCGACCGCTTAAAATACCCAAAAAATCATTACCACCAGATTACGACTATGATCATGCATATTATGAATATGAAAACGTACAGTGAGAGATTACCATGTTCTTGCATTAAGTCGATATTATTACACATTGAAGCCACGTGCAGGAAATAACAAACCAGGAGCACAGGTTACATGTTTCGTGTAATAAATGTACCCTGGACATTTGGCAGGGACTCCACAAGGGTGCTATTAATATGCAAGTGGCATGTCCCTTTATAACTGCATGCACAGGCAGATTTAATGCATGCCAAGGAGATTGGTGTGGAGGCCTTGAGGGGTCAGGGAGCAGTACCGTACTTCAGTAATGCTGTATCTTACTCATATCACGTCTGGGTGGTGCCTTTACCGTAATAAAACACAATGTTAACACACTGTACAGCCATTAAAACAAATAAATGCTGGGCTGCACATTAATTGAAAAAAAAATAGTTGATTGATAAATGAAAGCAGGGAAACTGCGATGGCTGGTGAATTATGTAGGTTGGCATTTTCGTTCCAATTTACATTTGTGATATACAAACATATCTACCAGTTATGATTGATATCTGCATGCTACTTACAGATTTTTGGGAAATGTGTTAGGGTTCAAACTGAAGAATGTTCAGGGGCTTTTCTGAAAGCATCCATGCACAGAGCAATCCTTCCACCATCTATTGTAATTAACAACATGGGAAGCGTGTTTGTTTATCGGATGCAGAAAGAACCACGAGTCGTAAAATCGATGGGATCAATAACACCATCCAGAGCAGTAACAGCAGCAGCAACAGGGCGCAGCAGCTGTTGCTTCAAACACGTTTTACTTGCATAAATGTCACTCACAACCACCACCTAACTTGCGAATAACCCTGCCACAGCCCCAAATCCCAATTCTCTCCTCCCCAGTCCTCACATGGTCCGGGGCTGGCAGGAAGTGGCAGGGTTGGGTGTGGGGGGAGGTGGTGATTTCCTGCTGGGCTGAAGGGAAAAAAACTAGCGGTCTCCGAGCTAAAGTCAGCATCATCCACAACAGTCAAGCTCACAGCAACTACCCCCCAAGTGTAAAGCGGTGTACAACGGTGAAAAGAGTTGTTGTTTAGGCTCAAGCCGCTCGCTGCGTCAGAGCCGGAGTTGGCAACTTTTAAACGCAGATAAGTTGCCCCGTGGCTCGCTTTTGTGAGATAGGACGGACCGACTTTCAACGCAGTTGCCACCCGTACAGCTTGTCAACGGATTACCGCTGCTTAATCCCGTCCGCAGCAGCCACAGGTGACTTAAGGTGGGACATCACTAAACTTTGACAGAGAGCGGGGTTGGGTGGGTGGGTGGGGCGTTAATGCATGCCAAATTGTTATTAATTAACAGAGTCCTCGTGGATAAATTACGTCCGTGGCTGCGGATTCGCTCAATCCGTTGTTGAATTAGCCTGATGAAGACTCGTGCAATTTGATTCTGTTGAAAAATGAGGGTTCATACTGAAGGTGTTTATGACATTGCTACCTGTTTAACTCTTCGTGGTTTGTGATAATGTAACAATGTTTCTTGTTAAATTTTTATTTAAAGCTTTCGTGACTGCAGGGATTCATATTCTTGGTTTTTTCGGTAAAGTCACGTAGAAGGGAAACAATAAAATAATTATAAAAATATATAAACAATATTTGTTATTATTATTTGTAATATTTTACTGTTTCCCTTCTACGTGACTTTACCGAAAGAACCAAGAATATAATGTTTCTTGTATTCTTTTTTTTACTTTTAAATTAACCTTTCAGCCGCAACTAAACAATGTTGTACGTACTGCGTAGTCCATGTGATCAACTTGTAGTCCGGTTCGTAATCAAGGTTTTGGGTTCAGGTTGAAGTAGTAACTAATTGGCGTGTTGTTTACGTGACAAAACTTACTGGCTTTGGAGGGTTAGAACACATCTAAACATTATGCGATCTCACCCAAAACCTTCATTATGAATAATATTGGTCGCGAAAGCCTACGCATTTAAATTGTTGTCCTGTTTCTGAATTTCGCATCATAGTTCTAACCGTAAACCAAATTGCTTTGTCATGGCACTGTAAATCAGTGAAGTGTTATGCTATACACGCAAGTGAAATCGCATGACATTCTACAAAGAGTTAAAACTGCCGGAGAATAACAAGATAGGGGGTGGGGGAAAATATTATGAAAGTATGAAAATTGCAGTGTTGTGTGTATACATATGGAAAATAAAAGGCGCAGTTATGATTGATCGATTCACACAGGCATTTAGCCAGAAAGATACCATATGCGTGGCATGAAAACAGATGGCCCTGGCCAGAACGCTGAACATTATGACTGTTCTGGCATCTAGCCCTGGTGCCCCATGGTGACTTGCAAATGATCAAGTGCCTCTCCAAGTCAACAGGGTTAATTGAGCAGAACAAATGGGGAGTCCCGTTGATTATATGCATTTTGTCGTGAGTTGCGAGCTTGAGTGTGGGAGAAAGGGCATACTGTATCATGGAGTAGGCTGGTTGCAAAGATGGATGTCTTGTGGGTGTGGGTGGGCATTTGGAGAATGGCTGGCCACATATTTTTAGGTTTGGTCAAGAGATTTAAAATAACCGGTCATGTCACACGCAGGAGATTCAGTGCCCCTCTTTGTGAGCTACCCTATCCTTAACATAACCATGACTGTGGAGACAACATATATATTTAAAATAACGTGGTAGCTTATCTTTTAATTTGGGTTGTTAAATTTTTGCTAAAATATGAGATTGGTTGTTTCACACACTGTCAGCTTGGTTGAGAGCAGCTACTAGCGTATGCAGTGGTTATTTTAACTGTTAACGAGTCAATGTGAACCTTGAAGGCCGCCTCAACCCCCTGAGAGCCAATTATCCGTAGTGGGCAGCATCGGTGCTGCTAGTTTTTGCCTGGATCCATAATTAATCTCTCACATTGTCAACTATGGCATATCACTTAAATAGAAGCTGATGCATAGGAAAAGCAGTTATGTTCTAAATGTAACGGGTCTCCCAATTGTACAATATGTATGTGAATCTTGGGCAATGATGATGCAAGGATACAATAATTAAAGATGCAAAGCTAAAAGTGCATACTTTGCACTCCCTGCATGGCAAGAAGGACAAACGAGTCGGTACTGGAAAAAGTGCAAATATAAACCAAATATAAACCAGACTGCTGAGCTACTTTGGGATTATTATGAGACGAGTCAGCAGTAGCCTTATGGAAGGTGATCATACGAAGAAGGTGTGCTTGAAAGAGTAGGGGAAGCCGGTCAACCATATGGGAGAACGGCATGACCGAGAAGATGCAAATAAAAGCAGCAGCAGCAGCAGGAAGAACAATACGATAGTGAAGGAAGTGGAGGTGTTAACCGTGGATGCCACTAAGTCCCACAGGGGATGTGCTGTTAGGCCGAATGTTATCACGTGCATGTTTATGAATGTAGCTGTTTTGGGTGCCCGTTAAGAATAGCTCTTTATTTGAGTCAAATGCACTGGTTGGAATTGTTACATGTGTATTGTTACCCTTGCAAAAAAACGTCACGCGCGCAGGGTAGTATTGTTAGCTGCACTTTAGCTTGCTCATGGAGCACTTCTGATATATAATTAATAGGTAAAGGTGCAGCCCTGCAATGGCATTTGGCCTACTTTTCTACGGAGACCAAACATCTTTAAAGAGGTTGCAATACCCACACTTTGCCCCACCGCACGCAACTTGCAGGTCGTGAGGAGATTCGAGATATCTATCCATTGTTTCAACATCCCGTGCTGGAAGATCAAAGAAGGGACCTCTGGATTTCACATTCAATGCAGCCCAAGGGCTTAAGTTGGTACCAACACCAGAAATGTAAAGCTCGAAGTTTAGGACTATTTCCCGTGTCATTGCTGGTATTGTATTGTATGCAGTTGGCTCTGCACGAACAATATCCATTAAAACGTAATTGCAATATCCATTGCAGCGCGTTTGTAATGCATAAGTTTCGTCTCATTTTGTATCCGGAGACTATAGCAAAGTACTGTAGTGCCTGCTCTCAGTCTGAAGCGTCACATTGTTTGGCCGGATACAGTATTCTGGGCCAAATGAGAGCCACATGTGCAGCCAGGCGTTGGTAGAAACCATTGTGCACTTGAGGCACGTCCCATATGTTCCAAACAAAATTCAAAGTTCCACAAGCCTCGCTTTAACTAAGATATTTAATCTAAGTAGTTTGGGCGGCTAGTCACACATTCACGGCAATGCAAGTTTATTCCCAACACAATTCATAACTTGACATCTCTAACCACAACCCCCCGGAATCACAACCGTAACCATAACCCCCCCCCCACCTTCATTTATAAACGGGAGAGAATGGAAGTTGCCTTTTTTTTACAGTCTCTCAAATCAAAGCGATTTTTTGCTCAGATGAGCATTTAGGCAGTACTCATCTCCCGTTTACATCCCTGAGCCGGTGGTGGAAATTCCACATGACTACGATGGAGGTGAATCTCTCCATGAGACAACTACAGTGAGGGAAAAAAGTATTTGATCCCCTGCTGATATTGTACGTTTGCCCACTGATAAATAAATGCTCAGTCTATAATTTTAATGGTAGGTTTATTTGAACAGTGAGAGACAGAATAACAACAAAAAAATCCAGAAAAACGCATGTCAAAAATGTTGTAAATTGATTTGCATTTTAATGAGGGAAATAAGTATTTGACCCCCTCTCAGAGATATCTGGCTCCCAGTTGTTTTTTTATACAGGTAACGAGCTGAGATTAGGAGCACACTCTTAAAGGGGTGCTCCTAATCTTAGCTTGTTACCTGTATAAAAGACACCTGTCCACAGAAGCAATCAATCAATCAGATTCCAAACTCTCCACCATGGCCAAGACCAAAGAGCTCTCCAAGAATGTCAGGGACAAGATTGTAGACCTACATAAGGTTGGAATGGGCTACAAGACCATTGCCAAGCAGCTTGGTGAGAAGGTGACAAAAGTTGGTGCGATTATTCGCATATGGAAGAAACACAAAAGAACTGTCAATCTACCTCGGCCTGGGGCTCCATGCAAGATCTCACCTCGTGGAGTTGCAATGATCATGAGAACGGTGAGGAATCACCCCAGAACTACACGGGAGGATCTTATCAATGATCTCAAGGCAGCTGGGACCATAGTCACCAAGAATACAATTGGTAACACACTACGCCGTGAAGGACTGAAATCCTGCAGCGCCCACAAGGTCCCCCTGCTCAAGAAAGCACATATACATGCCCGTCTGAAGTTTTCCAATGAACATCTGAATGATTCAGAGGACAACTGGGTGAAAGTGTTGTGGTCAGATGAGACCAAAATGGAGCTCTTTGGCATAAAAAAGTGGCGGTTATTTTTTTATATAAAAATACACCTGATGATGATTGCTTGTGTTGCAGTCGAAACGCCGTGAGAATTTTATTGTTTTATATTTTTATTATTTTATTGTTTCCCTTCTACGTGACTTTACCGAAATAACCAAGAATATGAATCCCTGCAGTCACGAAAGCTTTAAATAAAAAAGTATGAATGGTGTCTTTAACCGTTGTATGTTCTCTAATTAGTGTGTTCACCTTTCTGTCACACAGTGCAATTCCAAGCATGCATCTCTCAATGCTTTTTTTTCACACGTTTCAGTTTTACAGAACCGTCGTTCCATTTTCTTCATTACCGATCATGTTCCTGAACCCATATGTCACAGCAGTTAGCATGTACCGGCTAAAAACTTTCTTTAGGCATACTAGCAGCTTTCACATCCTTGGGGATGTGACCGTCCAACCATGCATTTGTCCCTCCCTCCCTCCAGACAGCCAGCCAGCCAGCAAAACCTTTGTCTAATACAGTCTAGGATGACATAATATTATCCATTGGAAATGCGCGGGATACACAACCAGGGTGCGTAGGGGGAGGCGTGACGTCATCGCGACTGAGGAACCCGGCTCAACGCTTTGGAATGTAGGTGACATCATCAAGCAGATGTGATTGGTGATGTCACTACCACATGCACATGTGCACCAGGCAGCCAGCCAGGAAGCCAGCCAGCAAGACTTGTTTTTATCATGTAGTATAATAGGATATAATCGGTTCAATGTATTACTTTTCAATATCAATTTCAGCTTTGCCAAAGCACTCCCACCTGCTCGCTTCTGTCTATCTTAATTTCATAATTGTTGTTTCGGTCCAACTGCAATACACATCCTAGGCACACATCCTGCTGTGTTTTCCAGTTGTGTCAGTTACGCAAATGCAGAATCTGCAATTGTTTTG